TATTTCCCCTCCTCTGCCTGGGAATTTTCTTTCCACCCCTTCTCCCTTCTGTCTCAAGACAATGCCTTCAGCCTTTGAAACTGCATCCATTGTAAACAGCTCTGAATATTAACACAGCCCCAGTCCTGCTCTAAAAGACCCCCAGGGTTTCAAATTGCAGTCGCTGAGGAGGGGGAAGGTCCCCCAGGGAGTAGATGTCACCAAGCTCATTCAAAAGTAGTTGAAAATTAGGCTTGCTCATGAAACTCAAAGTATTTCAACTTATGGGGTAAGTCAGAGAAATCCCTTTGAGTTTCAAATAAATGGTCCTGGTACAACCAACATCCTTTATTGGTTATAGTGACTTTCAATTCATTGAATCCCTTTTCCAGACTTCCCTCGCTGGTGGGTGTCACTTTTAAACCTTCCTTCCCTGGTTAACAGACCTTCAGAGCTGGAGCAGGTGCACAGAACGGGGCCAGGTGCATTCTTAAGTCACAAAAAATTCCAGTGACTCTTGCATTCCTGTCTACCCCAAAGGAGAGGATGCTGAAAAGGCTTTGCACCAGGGAGACACTTCTGCAGAATGGGGGAGAGGCTGTTTCATTGTGAGCACGGTGTCTGAGGGAGAGAAGGTCAGGCAGAGGCCAACCCAAAGTGCTCTGTCAGGGAAGGCTGCGTGGGGAACTCAGGCCAAGGCATTCACACGGCGGGGAGAGAAACTTGCAGCCCTCGGAGCAGAGGGGGAGGGCCTGAGCATCCTGGACATCCACTGGGAACCAGCTCTCATTATTCTGCACTGAATCATCATTTTTTGGAGGTAAAGAATTGTACCTACAATACATTCAAAAGTCCATAGTTTGGGAAGTCCCACGACCCAACATGATTATGGAGAGATGAGCACACTTAAAAAAAAAAAAAAGTCCCTTAAAAAAAAAAAAAAGAGGCAAGAGCTTATCTGACCTACCCTGAGGGCAAGAGGCACTGCTAACATAGTTCATTTGTATTGGGCCCTGGGGGTCTCCAGGCACTTCCTAATTTCACAGTCCTCAAAAATGAGATATTATGGCCATAATTTCACATCAGAGGGACTTAAATTGTGTGCCTTAAAAAGCCAACCAAAGTTATTTCCCAGAGAAGTCCCCTTACTCAAAGTTAGTGTCACCTAAGCACTCCATTACGCAGGTGAAGTGAAGCCAGGATTCTGACCCTTGTTGCAAAGAAAGGGACTCTGAGCTCAGGATCAAGCTCCTGAAAACTTTAAAAGCACTTGCACTTTCCAGATTTTCTCTCTGCCATGACGCTGTGTTTGAAAGGCATCCTATTCAGAACAATCCTTCGCCCATCCCCAGAAATGGGAAGATGTTCATGGTTGGCTGAGTTCTTCTTAAGTGGTGTAGAGACACAAAGGGGAAAATGTGCCAGAGGGGAGACCTCAAGGCAATGCAAACAATAATCTACTTCTTAGAACACACACACACAAATCTCAGCTTAGGTTCTGGTACAATTTGGTCATCTGCGCTTTAATTCTAATTTGCATAAACAGGACGGGAAGTATTTTCCAAACCCTTAGTTCACAATACCCTGCACACCTGGGCCTTTCAGCACAGCTGGAAAATTTGAAAGACAAAGGCCCTCCTTGCTTTTCAACTACAATGGCAACCACGGGCCTCGTGTTTATTTTCTAACATGATCATCAGCTCCCCTGAGGCGCCTTAACCAACCAGGTTCGATTTAAGTCACCTGGGTTTGGTACCATAAACCCGTAATGAGAAGTAATACAAAGAGACCCAAATCAATCCATTCGTCTTAATGTGACTCAGAATAACCACACTCAGTAACCTTTAGGGAACGTCCTTGCTTTTGAAGGCCACATCACCTTCCCTCTACACTGACAACGAGAATCATTTGTTCTGCCACCTGGGCCTGCCTTCCCATCACAATTCCATTAGGGCATCATGTAGCTGCCCGACCATTTAAGCAAGCAACGCTGTGCTCAGCTTTATGCCTTAGTAAGTTGCACTGAACGCTTCTTCAACAGCTTCTGAAGCCATGCTCTCACAAACAATTTCAAAGAAAGCCAACATCCGAGTTCTAAGAAGTTCAACTTCTTCTAAGGTTCTGGGAAGTTGAAACAGGGTATGGCAGTGCTGGGAGCTATTTATTAATGTGCTGGTTTGACTATGCCAATCGCACCTATGTAATAGGATGGCAGACTTGGTGATGGCCCCAAGATTACGACTATAAGTTATTGTGCTGAATAAGTTATCCTCAGGCCCCAGGAATGAAAATATTTTCCTTTGTACCAGCGCCATTCCCGTTCTTCTATTCCAACTGCATTTACATTCGCTATTAAGAAATTTTACTTTCCTTATGCTGGGCCTAGGAGCAACTCCAAAATTAGATACACTGTTTACAAAAGCAAAAAAAAAAGAAAAAGTTCCATAAAGCCACAGGTCCCCTTCTATCTCAAACCCACAGCCTGAAATTGTTTGAAGTAGCTGCCGTAAATCTAGTTCATGGGGTTATAAACTAGCTCAAAGCATTTTCTAGACACAATAGACTCAGAGGGTGTAAACTTGGTGAAACTCTAAGACATTTTATTATTATTACATACAGAGATTTTCTCCCCCGAAGTCTCACTGAGTCATAGCCAAGAATATAAAACATATAAATATCCTGATGGAAAATTCAAAAGAAGACTAAAGACTTAAATGGAGAAATCTTAAGTGTAGGTGGAAAAAAATCCCACATTTCCTTGATTTTTCTTTAATCAGGAAAAAAAAATAACTTCCCAATTATCTTTCAAAGGATACCATTTTGTACTGACACCTACCAACCAGAAGCCATACTATTCACATCTCAAAAGCTAATCAGTTAACACTGTAATCAGTATAACCAAGACTACTGAAGCTCAAAATAGCCAGTTTGGTATTTACTGATCATAATAAAAAGTGTAAGGAAAAGAGAAAACACTGCAATTTTAAAGGTATTTATGACATGTGAAATGTCACTCCTTAGGCGACAGAAAGCCCCCATAACAACTAGAAGTTTTGCTCCAAAAATTAAAGAGCAAGGCAAAGTGGATCTTGTCACTGTAGGAAAATGCAAACAAGAGGACACCCTGTCCTCTCCAGAGAGCCACAACTTCTGAACTAAGTGCCCTGCCCACAATGCCACTGTCACATGGCACTGGGGGTCACTCTTCCAACAGGTGAACACTCAAGAAGTTACTCTGATGCTCAGCACATTTTATTTTTTAAATAAAGCTACTTTAAGAGTATGTAAAGAAAAACCACAATACACCAACTAAATAAAATGCTACCTGAAAATACTAGCAATGCTGGACTCTATTTGCCACTACTCAACACAGCCACTGCCTGTGTTAAAACCCACACTGTGACCAATGGTTTTCCCTCAGTCAGGGAATTCCACAGAAGTAGCAGGATACTGAAGAGCAATCCTACCCATAAGGGAAGGGTCCAGTTTCAGAACTCTGTAGCACCTGACCACAAAGTGATGTATAGCAGAGCCCAAGTTAAAGACCCGTGCCCCAATGTCAAAGCTGCAGGATCTTCACATTTAAAAGGAATGAATTTCCCTTGTTTCGCCTCACAGCAGCCAGATTCCCAGACCACATGTTCTCAGATCAAGCCACAGGTGTTGGTTAAAACTTGTGTCACCAGTTTTTTTTTTTTTTCTTTTTGAACAGTGAATGTCATGCCGGAGGTTACTACTGTGCCTCTAATATAGTGTAAGAAAGATGTTCAATTATTCAACCAAAAAGCAGACTATTCAAGCTAGGCCTCTTCTGGAAGGTACCAAGAGTTCTGCAGAGATGCTAATTACCGATAACTGGATAATAATTTGACTCATGGACCAGATTTGTTAGAAAATTTTAAAGACTATTATATTCTACCATGTTTACAGAACCTTAATGTATTTTTTTTCCTGCCAAGAAGTGCCCCACTAAGTCCAGATAGGCCAAAGTAATGAGAGCAAAGAGCCTCTTTCCAGTGAAACAAACTCTGCTTAAACCAACCCAGTCCCTGGCACCCTCTCCTGTAGTAGCACTACTCCAAAACTAATTTGCACCATTTACAGAGGAGAAATGCTAGAGAGTGGGCCCCACTCCACCGGATCACCAAGACTAACGGGTCCCTTAGGGAACACACAGGAAGGGTCTGGAACACAGTTCCCTAAAATGCCAACCAGGCGGAAAAGGACAAACGTCCAACAGTCACAGATCTCCAGGAACACTCAAAGCCCCCTAACTGCGGGTCCTCCAGGGAAGGCTCCCCACCTCTCCCCGGCCCCAGAGCCACATCAGGCCACCAAGGTCCTGGGGAATGAAGACGTGGCTACACACTCTCACTAATAAATAATGTAAATGGAAGACTGGAGCCAAAAGTCACCTTCATTCATTACCCTCTGGAAGGCCCAGCAGCTCAGACACAAGACAGCTGGGTTATAGGAGAGAAAAAAAAAAAAAAAAAAAGAAACACCTGCGGACCCCCAGACTTCCTCACTCTCCTTTCCAGATGGTTCCCACTCTCCTTTCCAGATGGTTCCCACTCTCCACCCACACACATACACCCTCACCTCCAGACTCTCACTCACATTCTCTTACCTCCAGACACCTCACTAACTCCCAGATCGCCCTCATGACCCACACTCACTCACCTCCAGACCCCCACGACACACACTTTTTTTCTCTTCCAGAACCTCGAGATCCACTCATTCACTTCCAGACCCCATGATTCACGTTCGCTCACCTCTGGACCCTCAGGAGACGCACACTTTTCTCACCAAGACTTCTCCCGCACGCCCTCTCTCCTCCGGACCCCCATGGACGGTCTCACCACTGCGGGATTGATTCCACGCTAACAGTTTTCCAGCGCATTCAATTTTGCACACACGCAACTCAATCCGCACCCCTCTCCCGGGGAAGCACCCCCACCGCCCAGTCCCCAAGTGACAGCGCCCCAGAGTGCAGGGAGGGCTCAAAGGGCAGCACTTACAGGCTCCGCGTCCAGGCGGGCAGGTCCCCAGGCAGCGCCGCCAGCCCGCGCCCACCGCAGTC